CGGTTTTGACACATTGAATTCTGGATCGGCAAGTTCTATGTGCGTTGGAATTTCTATTCTATCTCGCGTTAGTGGAAAGTTGGGCATATTAGTCGTAATGGTGTCGATTAACAGACAATCTATGCTATCTTGGTACTTATTAAATTTCGAATGGATCTTGACTGTTGTTTTTCCCTTAATGGAGTTTAATGCCCTTCCTAATCCGGTTACTGTTGATTCTATCGGTTTTGTACGAATACCGATCCTTTTACAAAATTCCGACGTAATAAAATTTGCTTGCGACCCTGAATCTAATAAGACCCTACATTTGTGAAATTGGCCCTTGTGGTCGTTAATGTATACAACTGCAGTTGATAACATTGTACACATTGCAGATTCCCTAGCTATGCGTGTCACAAGAGGTTGTGTTTTTACTGATTCTAGATTTGTACTCGTATTGCAATTTGAGTTCGCGGATTTTACGGAGTGAATGTCGTCGCGGTGCAATAACGAGTGGTGTTTTTTATCACAAATCTTACAATGTGAACCCGTACATGCCTTGACCCGGTGATCAGATTGCAAACAATTGTAGCATACGCGAGCTTCCTTAACTATCTGTGTTTTAAGCTTTAAATTTATCGCAGTGATAAATAGAGTGGGTACCCTTGCAGACAGGACATGAGTTTGTGTGGATTATGTGGGATGTGACTGCATTTACCCTTTGGCTGCCTGGCATTCGGATTCGTTGATCAAACCTCTGTGACGTTAATTGATTACTACTCGCGATATTTCCTAAGTATTTTGCTCGCTCTTCAATAAATTCGGAAAATTCTGCAAAGGATGACATTTTTGTATTTGATGCGATCTTTCTTTCCCATTTTCTACCGGAGACTAGGTCTAATTTTCATGATAATAATGGAATAAGAAAGGTATCCCAGCTGTCTACCTGATCACCTAATGACCGTAGTGCATTTCGATGGCTGGTAATGTCATCGATAAATTCGCGCAACGCTACTTCCGTCTGCTTGTGGACAGGTTTCAAATCTATTATTGGATTTACGTGATATCTTTTGAGGTTGGTGGAATTCTCATATCGAGACCTTAATAATTCCGACGCGAGATTGTAATTTGCCTCTGATATGCCTAATGATTGAATAACGCGGGCCACGGCTCCCTTAAGTGATGAATTCAAATAATGAAATCGCTGAACGTCTGATAACGATTCATTCTCATGAATTAGTGCCGTGAATGTGTCTCTGAATTTTATCCAGTCACTATAATTGCCATCAAACAACGGTAACTGCATGGTTGGTAGTCTAACATTAATTATGCCATTGCTGGTGGTGGCCGGACTAACAGGCGTTTCGCGACGATCACGTACGTTAAATTTTTTTATGTGTGTTTCTACTTCGTCGATAAGGTCAAAGTACGCGGTTTCAAATGCTTCCCGTTCTGAGGTATGCGCGGCTTCGGCGTCTGTCCCTATCACCATCATTTCTATTTTTGTCTGTATCTTATTGAAGTTGTCAAATAATTGCGTGTTTGCTTCTAATCGTTTTTTTAACGACCCTATTGCAGTCGTGTTTGCAGAATCTCTGAAGAAATTTCTAAAACGCGTGAGCGCGGCTTTAAATGTACCACGTTCGCTGATTAATGATCGCAAGTCACCTTCCATTTTGAACTGCTGACGCAAATAATGAATGACGGACTTACTATTGGATGAGGTACTGCCCTTTACTGATTCCTCGTAGGCGTCTTCCACGGATGCTGATTCCCTTGGATGCGCTGATTTTGGTGGCGTCCTGGTGTCAGGTTTCTGGTCTGATGTCCTTCCTGATTGAAGGTACTACCAGCTTCTTCTTCTAAATCACCAGCAGCTGAACTGCTTGATGATACGAACGGCTTCGACAGTGCTGATTTCGTTGACTGTGGCTTCTACTTCGCTGACCGATGGATCCGGCTCGAAGGACCAAATGTAAAGTACTCCGATTGTCACGAGCACCTTTGAGTATATGCTGAAGTATTCGAAGGACCACCCAATGTTGGGACTGAATGATTGATTGACTGATAGCTAAGCTGATTCTCAACTGAGTCTGATTGAAACTGAGCTGACTCTCAACTGCTTCTGACTCTGAACTGAACTGATACTGATTGTCAAACTGATGTGTCAAACTGATGTGTCAAACTGATGTGTCAAACTGATGTGTTGAAGGGTTTTTATACTGATCCTGGGCCTACTCCATCCCTCTCGATATACGAAGGTGGGCCTCAGGGGCGGTTTTTCTATCCTTTCCTACGCAAGGTACCTACCCCTGTCTCATCCCCTTCCAGTCCGCCTGTAGCGCGGGTTTCCTGGAGCGGGGGTGACGGAGTTGGTCGCTATGCTGAACGAATGTTTGGCAACGCTGGGGAAATTCCATTAGGTCAAAATCCTTGAGGACACTTTTTCTAAAATTCTAACAGACCCTCTAGAATACGACTTTACGATACCTGGACTGAAGTGAAAAAACTAGACAATGGTTAATTTCTACGCTGAACCCTTATGTGCCGCATATTGGCTGCAGGCCGGCCTGCTAAAGTACCGGACGGAAAGCTGATGGTCACGAACGTCTCTAAGAATAATTCCCGTGTCGTAAAATTGTCCCCTTGTTGTCCTAACACTTTCTATAATCCAAAAGATGAGACTGAACATCATTGTGACGCCAGTTCAATAGGTTACAGGGCAATTCTTATACAACGAAAGAACGACCTAAAATTTCATCCGGTATTCTATTTTTCGAGGCGTACCACCGAGGTCGAAAGCAGGTACCACAGCTTTGAACTTGAAGTGTTAGCTATAATCTATGCGTTGAGGCACTTTAGAGTTTACTTATATGGCATGAAATTTAAAATCTTAACGGATTGTAATTCGCTCCAGGTAACCCTAAATAAGAAAGAGGTAAACCCACGGATTGCGAAATAGGTATTGGAGCTGCAGAGCTTCGATTACGAAATAGTACACCGACCGGGCACGCGAATGGCACATGCGGATGTGCTTAGTAGATCCACTAATGTTCTCGTCGTAGAGGGAAACTCGTTCGAGTTAGATCTAGCATTAATGCAAAACCGGGACCCGGAGATTTCTAAAATACGGGAGAAATTAGAATCGAGAGAGGACGGATTTTTCGAAATGCGAAATGGCCTTGTATATAGAAAGCATGGAAATGAATTATTGTTCTATGTACCACAAAGCATGGAAAAAAATGTCATCTATCGATACCATGACGAAATGGGGTATTTAGGAACGAATAAAACTAGTTGCACCATAGTACAAAATTATTGGTTTCCGAAATTAAAGCCTAAGGTTGCTGACCACATAAAGAACTGCCTGAAATGCATCGCGTATTCACCATCAACGGGAAAAATTGAGGGATCCCTACATAACATACCAAAAGGAAATGTTCCATTCGCCATGGTACATATAGACCATTTTGAGTCAATAGATAAGGCAACCAATATTAAAAAAATATGTGTTTTTAGTTGTAGATGCGTTTACGAAACATGTAAAATTATACCCAACAAAAACCACCTCCGCAAAGGAAGCGATCGCATACCTGAAAACGTATTTCTCTCACTATAATAAACCAGAAATGATTATTTCGGATAGAGGCAGCACGTTTACTTCCAAAGATTTTGAGAATTTTCTAACACTAAATAGCATTAGGTATGCGAGAGTAGCCACGGCAACATCGCAAGCAAATGGGCAGGTAGAAATGGTCAATCGAGTGCTCGAGCCTATGCTTGCAAAAATGACCGAAGATCGTCCCGGAAAACGATGGTACGATGTATTGGAGGATGACGAGTATGCGCTAAACAACACGGTAAATAAAGCCACGGGCGAAACGCCATGCAAGTTGTTATTCGTAGTTGATCAAACGGGTAAAGTGCCAGATGTATTAAGGAAATGTATTCAAACCGAAAGAAGCTGCGAAACTTCAAAATTAGAGGCCGGCGCGAAGAAAAACTTACATCTACAAAATTATAATAAAACGTATTACGATAAGAAGCACAAACCGCCCTACGAGTATCAAGTCGGGGATTACGTAATGTTAAGAAATTTTGTAATCACTCCCGGGGCCTCCCAAAAATTAATTCCTCAATTTAAGGGACCCTACGAAATGATAAGAAAGTTACGAAATGATCGATATATAGTAGCTGACATTAAAGGTTTTCAAAAAACCCAAAGACCATACCAGGGTACTTGGACATCCGCAAACATGAGACATGGTGTCCGAATTAAGGTAAGCTTGTGTTAAACTCAACATAATAAATTTATACCTTAGAGTTTAGGCTTAGAGACTTTAAGTTTAGAGTAGTAAATAAGTCGAATTCAATGTACGCGTACGCATGAATGGGCGAGTCCAGGATCGGACTCGAAGGTGAGGATTGGCCGAGATTGTAAGAGCCTGCGAGAATCGTGTTCCGTTAGGTACCGCCATAAATCGGGGCCCAAGCATTTGGAGCCCTTATGACGGTAAGAAGTGGAAAGGACCCGATCGCGCTCACCTCCTCTCGTTTGGGGCAACGACGATCAGGCCTCGGAAAACCGGCAACGCTGGTGTTGGGCGTTCACAGCAGCGTCCTTACTTGGAACTGATTAAATGAGACCGCTTGCTTCTTCATTAGTGGACTGTATTTTTCGTGTGTACAATTATGTCTGGACACTAAGACTCGCTTGTTTGATGTATTTCGTTCGATCGTTTTGAGTTGTCTGTCTCGCTGGCGATCTGCGAGTCAGATCGTCAGCTCCGAAATTTAAGAAAACACGCTGATTGGTTATCGCCAAAATTGACAAATCCCAATCAGGGGCTTTCAAAACGAATTGCCTCCACCGTCGCTGCGCCCTTGGCGCGCCTAGTCTAACGAGGGTGGGGTGCTACCTAAGACATGCAGAGACTATGTTTTTAGCTTGGATACAAATTTCTTCCAGGCAAACTCCAGGTACCGAGTGTCCTTAGGATACCATTTGGTCGCCCTTCAGAAATATGCATTTACAACCCGTCGCTGGCTGCCACATGCGGGTGAAAGGAAAGTTTTGGAATTTGATTTCAAAAGGCCAATGAGTATTGCCGCGATATGCCGTTAAAATACTAAACAATAAGAGCCGTTTTTTGCCCCGTGCTGTAAAGAGCTCAAGTCTCTGCATGTATCGACTCTGTTAAGCCGTGACGGCTCAACAGTTGGAATTTTCCCTAAAAAGGAGTGGGGCGCGGACCTTCCTTCTTAAGGAGCGGAAAAGCAGGAAAAGACATCTGTTTGGCGGGTAAAAGCATTGAGAGAGTCAAAACACGGAAACTTCCGATAGTCGTCAACGAGTCGGTCTTGTAAAGTAAAGAATTCATTCTGACCGGAATTCTGTATCATTATTCAAACCACCCTTACACAATCGAATCACGTCGTGCTCCACCGGTCGAGCCATTTACACCACCGGATCCGGGTGCCCAATATTAATTTGGCGGGCACTCCAACGATTAAAGCAAAACGCGTCGACTGGCGAATACTGCGTTTTAACTTTACGTAAAAATACACATATTGTTTCACAATGTGTGAATACGCGTTCGCGACGAGACTGTGGGATGTGTTGAGAGCCGAGTCAGCGGAGGTCGTAAATCTCCGGTACGATTTTAAATCGACGTCGCGATGCGCGTACGACCCTACGACCTTTACAGACGTAGGGTGAATAAGTTTTGTCCCAACAAGTTTTGAGGATTATGTTGCTGCCTTGACTTGTTGATGCTAACTGACCCCTTGGAGACGCAAATTCACTTCGCTTCACCCACGCCGGAAGTGAATTTGCCGCGTTGACGAAACGCACGCGGAAGTGGAGACGTTGAATTTTCCGATTCGCTGAGATGAACGCGTTGAAGAGTTCTCAAATGGGACTGGTGGTTGAGAGATGCACCAATCAGCGAATCGGAAAATGCCGGAAAACGACGGTCCCAATTGGCGGGTCCCTCGGGCCAAGGTGATTCGTGCGCCACCTGTCTGTGCGTGGGTGCACCTCAGCCGCGAGAGCCCGTTCTTCTTGGGTTTTTCCGGCTTCGCGTGACGTTATCCACTCTCCCTCCGAGGGTGTCTCCAAGAGGTGGTTTGCCAAGGCTGTGGCATGTGTTTTGCAAGCCGTCGACCACGGACCGAATTTTTACCGTTCGGCCGAACGGCTGCAAAACACGTGTACCCCCGTCGTTTACTTGAACGAAGATATTTTTCGCCAAGTTGTAAAATGACGGAGGGCTTTATGGAGATTTACGATCTGGTCTTTCCGTCTTAGGACGACGGAACACATATTAATCACTTAGTTTTAAGCATCAAAACATCTGATTTATTTAGTCTGTTGTAATCTATCTCGCACACATTTTGTTTTACAAGTAATCCGTGTAAGACTCAACCTTTCAGCACGTATCATGCGAAACAGCGGTATTTTAATTATTAGTACTTAAGCGCGTAAATTAGAATATCATTAACCACATCATCCGCACACTGACACACCCATCAAGTTTGCTCGACAACCTTGCAATGGAGGGAGGATGTTCCTCCGCGTACCTCGTTGAAACAGACCCCCCAGTAAACAAATAAAATTTAACGTCTAAAATCATCTACACTAAGGAAAACACCTTCTATTAGACTCCGGGATATGTGTCTTCACGAGAGCCGATATTTCGTCGTTACACCCACACTGACTCACACGTACATCCAATCATTTGCATCCTTCAACAAGTGTTAATAGTTAAGTGTTCTATTTGTTAAATATATTGTTAATAGTGTACAACTACTAAAATAAAAACTAAGTCCGTAGGTCAGGTTAAATATATTTATTATGCGATGTGGCTCTAACGAGGAACGGCGACTAACTGACCTTCTTCAACTGCTTTCCAAAAAGGAAAGCTCCTCAGTCGAGGGCGTACGTGACCCAAGTCATGGTGGTCCCCTTAGTGATCAACTTGTCAACGGGCCTGGACTATCTCTCAGGTCCTCAAGTATTGTCAAGCAAAAGATCGAACCGTCTACAGTTCGGCCATTCCTGACAATAGTGACGGTCCTCGGTCACGAGTGGTTACTAAGTAAATTTCAAGTTTAATTTTAACTTATAATTAAATACTCGCAATACTCTCTCAATACTCTCTCAATTACTTCGTTCGCTCCAGCTCGCAATTCTCACAAAGACCCTTTTCCTCATGCATCCTTCCTAATATACTAATCACTCACTCACATTCTCACATACATGGATTTTGCGGTTATTGCCCCTAATATCTCGCTCTCCCTCTTATTTTTATTCGCACTCTCTTTCACTCGCTCTCTCAGTCACTCACTCTCTCGGTCAATCACCTGTCGCTTGTTTATTTTTCAGATAACCGACAGCTGATCGGCAGCCCTAACGACAGCTAGTGTCGGTGTTTCTTTTATTCGTTCCTAACTGCCGTTTTGACTTTAACAGCGTAACTTCCTACAATAATAAGCTGTCTTCACGATACATTCTATAATCTGTAGATAAATAAAATATCGAATACACACTCCATACAGTGCACACGTTATACAATACTCCTAAGTCTATTATAACACTCACACACCAAATACATTAATACTAACGTTCTTATGCTGTTACAATTACGTGTGTTGAACAAAGTACAGTATATTACAAAGTAAAAATACAGAACAATTATAAGAAATAAAGAGTAAGAGAGAAAAAGTGAATGAAAGGTAACATTAACGCACAATAATTAAAAACGTGACCAATTTTTCGTCTAATCCGGACCTACAACCCCAGTAAAGGGTGCACGCGTAAGCTGGAATCCTTCTATATCATTTACTACATATCTATCAAAGTCTAAAACTTTCTTAATAACATACGGTCCTTTAAATTTTGGTATTAGTTTTTTATTCACCCCCGGTGTAACATCAGAGTTACGAATCATAACATAGTCTCCCACCTGGTACTCCGCTGATGCTATGTTTTTTATCGTGAGCCTGTTGATGATTTTTCCGACTGCTTCTTCGCGTATTGAGTGACGGCCCCTGTCCCTTTCCGAATTCGACTCTAAAACCACCCGAAAATTATCCATTACTGTTTCCATCTGTTTGATCTCAAATAATAGACAGGAAGGACTTTCTCCTATTGACCTGTAAACCATGTTATTTAGCGCGTATTCTACTGACCCTAAAACGCGGTCCCATTTATCAGGTGTTTCAGCTAATTTCGATAACATTGGTGCTAAGACTCGCTTGAAACGTTCCACTTACCCGTTGCTCGTGGTATTCCAACTGCGATGAGGACTTGTTCGATCAAGTTACTAGCTAAAAATTCTTTAAATGCATTAGAGGTGAAACAAATGCCCTGATCACTAATAATTCTTTTAGGTTTGCTATAGTTTTAGCACCTCTTCCATCTTCGTCGTTTTACACGGATATAGTTTTATAATTTTAGTGAAACCGTCCACAACTGATAATATGAATTTATGCCGTTTTGCACACTTTTCAAGAGGACCTTAATGATCAATGTGGACTGTCTAAAAGGGTAGGTTATCCTTATCCGAATTGTATAAAAATCCTTTGGATTTTCCACTAACAGGTGAAAATTCGATATATTTCAAACAGTTTCTAACATATTCTTTAACTCTCTGGCGCATTTGCGGGAACCAATAAATTTGACTAATATTTTCAACGACTTTGTCTACTCCTAAATGCCCTAAATTATCGTAATTTGTACGAATTACATTGTTTATTAGACATTCCGAGACGTAAAACAACAACTTATTATTTTTTACTTTTCTGTATACGAGTCCATCTCGTAATTCGTAGAATTTACTCTCGCATGATTCTAATTGGCTACGCAACTCACGGATTATTTTGTTTTGACATTGTTTAATTGATAATACCTGTTCGAATGTGTTTGGCTCTAAAATAAGAATTGAATGATAGCGGCTAAGTGCGTCAACGTACAACATTTTATTTCTGCTTCGGTGTTCAATTTCGTAATCGTAGTTTTGAAAAAACATTGCCCACCGGGAAATTCGTGGGTTAACATTTTGTTTGCTCAAGATTAGCCTAAAACTATCGCAGTCGGTAATTATTTAAAACGGTATACCTGAGAGGTATACATGAAAGCGTTTTATGGCATACACCACGGCTAACCATTCGAGCTCGAAACTATGGTATTTGGATTCCTGAACCGTCGTCTTTTTACTAAAATAAAATACACGCTGAAATAGACCGTTAGGTTGTCTTTATAATAAAATTACCTCGAATCCGCTGCTACTCGCGTCGCAATGCAGTTCGGTTTTTAATTTTGGTGAATAGATGGCCAATAATGGTTTATTCA